GTTGATAGTTTCTACTCTCTTCTTGTTTAGCTACTTCAAAGCTAATTCTACAAATTATATGAACTAACTCTAAGAATACTCTTAATTTGGTTTTGAATATTCAAAATAATCTTCATCCATTTTTCATTTTGTAATCCATTTAGTATTTGAGATTTGTCTATTTGTAGGATAACAAATTAATATGCTAATAAACTTTCTAGAATAAGTTTTCATGATCTTATGCTTTATGCCTATTTAGATCAAGTTTCTATTTCTTTGTATCATTATTTGAAATTAGATGCTCTTGACATTTGTATTCAAGTCTTTGAATTAATTTTCTTATGTGTTTTTGGAATTTTTAGTTTCATTTAATAAAAAATATTTGATGTTACAGTGTCAAATTTTTATCATTTTTTTCTACTTGTCGAGTTATATATATGTGTATGCATGTAAAGTGTATATTAAATTTATTTTATTTATTTTTAATTTAAAGTTTAAAATCAATACTTTAAATAAGTTAGATTGAAAGAAAAAGACAAACCCTATAAATTTATTTATGATTATATTATTACGTATACACATTAAATTACTTTTTATTTTTTATCTTTCTCGCAATAATTTATGGTTATAAAATAATAAACTTTAATCGCTTATTTTTAAAAATAAACCACATAAATTTATGATTCATTTATTCAATTACAATTAAAATATTTTTGTATGCTTGTTGGTATTTCAAAGTTAAAACTTAAATAATAAGCCACTTAATTTTTGTTTAAAGTTACTTGAATAAAAATACTTATATTTATTCAATCCTAGTTTCATAATAAAAACATTGTATTTTGACGTAGTAAGCAAGCTTCCTTTTTCTTATTGGATATTGTATGGAGTTTTGTGAAATAACTTTGTTTCATTACATTTGTCCAAAGCCGTGAATACATGCATTGCTATTCTAATGTTGCATGTACACGAAGATCATTTTCATAAAGCTAACATGAATAGGAATTGAAATAGGTTAGACTTTATATAAATAAATTTAACTTATTTAATAATTTTAAATTTAGTCTATTATATGTTATAGATTTTTTATTAAGTCTAATATAACTACTTAAAAGTTTGATTTATCCTATTAGTCTTTTTAATAACTTATTTTATATTAAAATATTTAATAGATTATTAAACTATCTAAATAAATATATTTTTAAAAGTCATAAAATTTATATCTAAATAAATTATTAAAAAATAATATAATATAAACAAGTGCGTAAAATTGTAGATAAATATGAATGACATGAAATGAAACAAATTAGTGATAAACATAATCGAGATAACACAATATAAATTTATGTTATGCTAATAAGATATACAAAAAATTCTAGCAAGTAGAGCTTTATCTATATATGTAATTGAAACATTCTTCAACTCTAATAAAAAAATTAAAAATTTTAATTAAAAATTTTATTATTTTAAAATTTAATTAATTTAATATATTATATTATAATTTCTATATAAAATCATTTAATATATTATTATAAATTTTATAAATTTAAAATCAATTATTTTAATAGACTTAATAGATTTTTTTTAAACACAAACTTAACCTATTTAATTAATTAAATATTTTAAAAAATTTAAATTAAGTCTGTTAATTAAATAAATTAAGTTTTAAATAAGTTAAGCAGTAAGATGGCCTGACCGATTTCTTTTTTTAAATATAAAAAATAAATAAACTAATATAGAAAAATATATAAAAAAGAAAAATCATTTTAAGGCATCGTAGCCTAAAAAGTAATTTCTGAGCAATTTCAAAAATATTTTACTAATTACAAATATATTCCACTAATATACTGCACCTATAATTTTAAACTCGATGTTATATATTATTCAAAATATTAATTACGCGTCCAAGTTTAAAGGTTTTAATTTTTTGCATCTTTTTCTAATTTTTTCGTCAATAAAACCTTGAGGACTTTCATTCAGAATACTTCCTAGTCAAAGTAGCATTGACACATAACCTCTTGTTGAAGTAAAAGAAGCCTTTGTGATCGACAAAAGAGTTTCAACTTCCGAAGCTTAAAAACAGACGGATTATACTTGAGAGAGAAATGTGATTATGAGGTAGACAAGGGAAAAGTTAACCATATGCACATAACCTCGTACACCAAATAGTGCCACTTATTCTAAAGGAACAACGCAATGAATTTCGAAGGTAACCAAATATGATCCCAGATTTATTTATCTTAGGATGTCAGTGGTATATCAAAATTAACCCTTTTGTCTTCAAATTCTTACCATAACAATAAAAGGGACAGAAAAAGGAATATTTTTGGCATTGTTAACTCCACGAATCATAGAAAAAAGAGATGTAAGAAAAGAAAACTCCAGAGAGAACTAAAAAGGAGGCAGATTCTTGATGAACCAAGATTCCAAACTCACATTAAAACAAATATAAGCATAACCACCACAAAGCGAAGAAGAACTAAGAACCCTGACAGTGTGAAAGGAATCTAGCAGGGATGCTGTGCATTCTCTAGAGAGGCAGCAACCTTAGCCACAAGTGATGCGACCCTTAATCCAATTCTTTATCCTCTGAAAAACAGCATAATCATGTGCAACCAATGTGAACATTCCAACCTGTAGTGCCAAATTGATCCAAGCAATGGTGGTTGAGATGAAGCTCAAAGCCAGAACTGAAGCTGCACTTCCCAGCACAAGCATGGCGCATGTTATGCTTAGAAGAAATTTTGTGTCATGTGTCAGAAACATTTTCCCAATGATGGCTAAGAAGGAGTGTAGAACCATGGTCAAAACCAGAAACATCATGAACAAGGACTTTCCTGTATCAGTGTTTGTTGCTGCATTGAAGGCTATCAACAGTGTTGTCAATTTGTCAAGGATCTCTATATTATTTGCTTGAATAGATTTACTAATTGGTCATGGTTCCTGATCATACCCATTACGGAAAAAAAAAGTTAGACTTGCATAATATCATTATCATGTAGTATTGATAGCAACACGTGTCAAATAAAAGGGAAAAAAAAAAAAAAAAGAGGGTGTAAGAGTGATGCACGCAAAAGGTGATGAATGATAAGCAGAAGCACCTTCAAACAAGGTTTTTATGGATATATAGAGTAGTTATAGCTGCACTATAAGTTTATTACTAACCTCATTGAAGTGAAATGCATTGAATTGATCGTGGGCAAATTTCAGCTTAATGTGTTTGATGGAATTGTCATTATGTATTTCCATATCTAATGATGAAAATTATGATAAAATATTATATGAAAAAGTATGGTCATGCTGTGTAAAAGTTAATCTTACCACCGTAAGAAATCTAAGAAACAGCAAACAAAAAAGAATAACTTCCCACAATATAATAATTAATTTTAAGCTTAAACATATTTCCCGGTACTGTATTAGAAGCATTAGTTTCTTCATATTCATATTTTCCCCAAACTTTCAAAAGAAGACGTAAACCATAGCATATCTTAGGACCGTGAATGAACGATCCCACATCTGTAATAATAATTGAATATGATGATTTAAAATATTTTTCTTAATTACATTTTTGTCTTCATACTTACATAAATGTTCAATTTTAATCTCTCAATTTTTAATTGCGCTATTTTAAAGAATTACCCACCTTGAACCTCTTTTTAAAGAATTGTAAATCCATGCCCTTCTCTTTCTCTTGGCTGTTCCCGATATCAACCTTCTTATTCTTCTCTTTTTTGTTATCCTAATCCCTATCATCTTCCAACGACGATGATAACCCCTTTTCCTAGTGCAAGAACAAACCACCTCAGATTTTGTCATTGACAATGAGATTAGAGTCCTGAGTGAAGGGTTCGAACAGGAGAAAGTTGACATTTTTGGCAAGGTAGAGACATGAAAGGAGTGTCCAGAGAGAGGGATCTCGATTGATGAAGGGAGTGACATGAGCAAAATTGTTTTGGCAATGGTGCAAAAAGAGAGGATAATAAGATAAAGGAAGAGGAATGTGATGAGGTTGGAAGACAAGGAAGATGTTTTTGAAAAAAAAAACAAAAAAACATCTAACGGAGATCAAAATTGAACAAAGGTTTAATCATCTCTTTCGTTCAGCTACACACATGCTTTTTGAAAAAAACAAAAAGGAGATCAAAATTGAACAAACATGAGAGTTAAAAGAACAAAGGTGCAATTATATTTGTCAAGTAGGATCATCACAATATAATTTAATAAACACTGTTAATGATTAAATAAATATTTAACGGAATCATCATAATTAAATAAAATTTAAAAATTATGTAATTAAAAATTGAAAGATTAAAATCGAACATATAGGTAAATATTGATAAAAGAAAATTTTAATCAAAATTTTTAAATAATTAAATAAATATTAAAATAGTTTATTAACCAATAAAAACAAGTAAATTCCCCTGTAACATCTCCTCTGTCATATTCTTTGTGTTTAGTAAAATCCTTTGAATTATTATGTGGTAGTGAATGCATATATTTGAGCAGCTTCTTGCTATCATCACAGATTTTGCATTTGCTGCAATCACATTTACTTCCTTCATTCTTAAATCGCTTAAATATGTTGATTGTTATCTAATAAATTATAAATCACATAAAACAAATTATTATGCACAATTTTATTTATAGGCAAAACTCGATGACCACCGCAACCGATTGCACTTGTCATGATATGCTATTTTAACAGTGGCACCTACATGCGTGTCCTCTTTCACCTTTAGCCGTGTCTCTTGCACGTGTCCATGCATGCATGCCTACACTTAAGTTTCCTTAATAATCTAGCCTTTTCTTATAGCTATATTTATTACTCTGCATTAGTTTACTACTTTAATTACATGCATATTTTTTCACTCTATAAAAAGATGAACCTTTCTTCTTTCACTTGTGTGGGAAATCGTCAAGTGTTTCTCTTGGCTGAAACTATTAACACTCCTAGTAATCATTGTCATTCAGTTTGCTTGCAGAGCAAGAAAGTGCTTGCAAGAAGAATAAAAGGTTTTAGTAACATGGCATCGCAGCAACAAAACCGTGAAGAACTTGATGAGAGAGCAAAGCATGGTGAAACTGTGGTTCCTGGAGGCACTGGTGGGAAGAGTCTTGAAGCTCAAGAACACCTTGCTGAAGGCATGGATGCAATGCAATGCAACCCCTCTTTCTCATTCAATCTTAAGAACAAACATTATGATGATTAACCCATTTTTTTTATCATTGAAGCAATGCATTTTATGGTTTTCTTTGATGTGTTTTATGATGTGTAGGAAGGAGCCGTGGAGGGCAGACAAGGAAGCAGCAGCTAGGGTCAGAAGGGTATCACGAGATGGGGACAAAAGGAGGCCAAACAAGGAAGGAACAGATGGGGAGAGAAGGGTACCAAGAGATGGGACGCAAAGGAGGGCTTAGCACTATGGACAAGTCTGGTGGAGAGCGTGCTGAAGAGGAAGGCATAGACATAGATGAGTCTAAGTTTAGGAATCACTAAAAAATATGGGGCATTGTGTTTTTGTAGTTGTTGATGTAGGAGTACTGGTGAATATATGTAGGAGACAAGTAATGAAATAATGCTAGTAGTAGTGTTTTTCTTGTAGTTGATGTAAGTTGTGAATATATGTAGGAGACTAGTACCGTAAAAAATTATGTTTTGATGCTGTTGTTTGTTAGTAATGTCAAGTGTTTCAGGTTTTGGAACCTTGTTAGTCTCTTCCTTTAAGGAAGATGTTTAGTAATGGTACTTTCCCTTTCCCTTATATAATGATCTTCTCTTTATACATTTTAAGTTCCAAGTTTTTTTGAGTGGCCTTATTAGAATATATGGAACAAGGAAGATAAATATTAAATGGAAACAAACACAAAATCGAAACGCCGTACGTACGGTATTTTACACGTTTAGGCCATGTTTTGTGTTGTGTAATAAATTCTATAAATGTGATGAATGAATACTCAATGACATGTAACATGAAAGGAAAAACAAATACCTGCTATAAGTGGTGGATTGTAATTTTTAAATGAATGCTTTAATGAAAGCAATGACAAGTACCTTCGATAAGGAGTAGAGTGGATGAAGCGGATTGAAAAATCACAACAGTTTTTTAAGTCTTGATCTCAAATCAAAGATGGGTAATGTATATGTCTATAAAACCATGGAAGGGAAATGTATGTGTCCACATTTTGTACAATTCATTGTCTTTTAAAGCATCCTAAAAAGAAACTCTTCTCAACCTAGACTCATAATCAAAACTTGAATAAGTGTATAAGAGAAGAGATAATGCAAAAGATGAGAAAAAAAAAAGCAGCACAATACTGGGCTGGACAAGCCTTGGTTCCTAAAGTTACATTACTTGAATGTCGGGTACCTAACAAAAGCCCCACCCTTTCTCACCAGTGGCACCCTTTTTCGTTTTTATTCTATGAATTATCCCTTTTAGTAACTTTTGCACGTAAAATATCAGTGGCTAGTTGCTAGAGCAGTAACCAACAGACCAAGCACCAGAAATGGCTGTGCACTAGCCTGAAAACACAAGAACATGAATAAAAAGTTGTTCTATTCTTGATAGACATGGGCCATTTGCCCTTGCTCTATTTTGTTATAAAGCTTCGAAGCAAAATTTATATAGTCAATTATACCTGATATTTAACATCATATTTCACAGGGTCCTTGAGGAAGTACTGGAACTGCAAAATAAAATGATAAGAACAAGTGAGATGCCACCATAAATTTAGATAGAAAAAACAGTTTAGTATGTCCTAAAAAAAATTGTCACATCATTATAAACAAATTTTCAATGTGCGTAAATTGTAATTGTGTACTTTACCTGAAAAACGACTTGAGGAATTATTAAGGCAAGTAAAGCCAATGCATAATACGGTTTACCAGCCCCGAGTAGATATCCTGCAACAATAAATGCAAGTGAAATTCTTTGCATTTGAATGTAATCCATTTTGCACTAATGAAAAATATTGCTTTACCAGAATTCAAGAAACTATATTTTACTTTTGTTTTTGTCCATCGTTTTTGTCCTCATGTATGATTTTAATTACGTGATGTTATATATAGTATATATTTTTTTGATATTGCACTCATTAGGTATTTTAGTTTTCGATTCTTGAAACTTTTCATTCTTCATTTTCTCTTGCCCGAAAACTATCACCGCTGGTCACCTTTGCGTTTCCCACCGATAATTTTGTTGTTGTCATCTAACACTTCTCCAACCTTATTGCCCTCTTCTCATCCAATTATGTCCTGTCGTCTTAAACTCTCTTTCTCTTTTCTTGTCCTTTCTTCACTCTTTTCTTCTTTCCTTGTCGCTTTCTTTCCTTTTTCTTTGTTTCCACTCACTAACACCATCCCATGGCTACTACTAACCGCCAAATTTCGGTCAACTACAATGAATGCTTGCTAACTTAGGTGGTCACGCCTTAGACAATTGTAGTGAATTCATGCCTTCCTCCAATGCCACTGCCACAAACCCAAGTTCCATAAACTACGCCACTTGCGGTTGCCATTGGAATTTCTATTGTCGAGAACCGGAAGAACCACTCATCTCTTCAACCAACCACTTTCATTGAGTTTATTTGAACTTAGATCTAAGTGAACCAAACCAGGTATAAGAAAAATGGAATCTGGAATAAATCCCGAAAACAAATTTAAAGCCAAGATCAAGTCTCCAGTGGAAGAGGGTACGTCACCTTTGAGTCCATTGGACAACATATTCAAGATTTTTAGTCTATCAAGCATGATTAGTGGAAGTTGGTACTATTCTATTAAGATTGTTGTTGAAAAAATCAATGTGGACAATGTTGGAATAGATGTGTCTTGGAAGACAACTAGTGAAGTTGGCATTTAAATGGTCAAAGTTTTGGGTGTTGGATGTCAACAGCGAAGTAGCTGAACTAGTGAAGTTGGCATGTAAAATGGTCAAAGTTTTGGGTGGTGGATGTCAACAGCGAAGTAGCTGACAGAGAATGCAGATGATAACCAACAATGGTAGTTTTTGACAAGGGAGAATGAAGAAGAAGAATGATAGGTAGGTAAAAGATTTTAAAAACTAAAAATTAAAATGTCTTATGAGTGTTTCAGAGACTAAAATAAAATAAAAACATATGCTATACCATATACAACATTTTTGCAACAAATCAATCTGACATGTCACATTTTTTGATATGTCAATATTCTGTTATTGTGTTGTGTGTTGATAGCATGTGACTCGAAAGACTAAAATGATGGACGAAGGCAAAAGTTTGACATCTTTAAAATTTTAAGGACTAAAATGTTTAACACTTACTATCTCAGACTAGAAAGATTAGTCTAAAAAATTGTACTATGATATTATACAATCATCAATTATTAGTTAGAAAGATATGAAGAATAAAATTAACGCCGGTTGAAATGACAACAGTCATGCTTATACCAACAGTGTAACTTCAATGCATCAGAGGCAATTTATGATAACCGGTTCTTGAATTTTTTAAGACCCAATTTAGAAAGAACCTTACAAAGTACAAGGTTATAACCTAGTACAACTCTGATTTAGACAAAAAGATAAAAGCAAAAGTCAAAACATCAGTAATCCACAAGTAATAAACAAGGATAAGGATAACCATTAAGTTAATATAGTGACAATTTTCCAACTGCATTGTTATAGTACCTTGTAAAACCGTAAAAGCTTATAGAATGTAGAGTAATTATTAGTATACATTAGAGGGATCAAAATTTACCAGCTACAGATAATTGTGTAATGTCAATAGCGCCAACACATATCCATTTTGCAGTTTCAGCACCAAAAGCAACTGGAAGAGACTACTCAAACAAGGTTGCAATAGAAAAGTCAGCAGAAGCTACATCAATGACTTTGAATAATTAGAGTTTCTAAAACAAAAATTCCAGGTTACTGTAATTGAAAGGCAAAGGTTAATACAGTAGACCTGAAGCCCTAGAGCTCTATCCCCTTCGATGCTTTTGAAGTCATTGACAATAGCAATTCCCAACTGCAATGTGATACAACAACATTAATGACTAGTCTAAGGTATCATTTCACATGTTATTGTAACAATATGTCATGTAGCATATACTACATACTCCAGCTATGCTGTATAGGAGGGTGAGAACAATTATGTCTGGTGTAAGAGTCCCAAACAAAGCCTGACCAGCCCACCTGTCAGTAAGAAATCGGTTAAGACTGTTAAATAAAGTGCAAATCTAGAAAATAGAACTCAAGCAAATCAAACATGATCAGTTTAATCACAATTCCCTGTTGATGATATGTAGGGTTACCCCGGTTATATTTTTATTGCAATAGTTGTCACATTCCAGAAATAAATATTATCCAAAAGCAACTATTTTTATCATATTATAAAAAGGGCTCCATGTAGCTGACTCCATCAAGTGGGAAAAGGTTTCGTTATTGCAGTATAAAAGGGCATCCCAATGCATGAGGCTCCGACCTGGTGCATGAATCTGTGATCTTCAGGTAGGCTGCAACTTTATTGTTGTGTCAAGGCTCACCCTCTTAATAATGTTTATTATATTACGTAAAAAATATTTCTTTATAAAAAAATTCATTGCCCTCTCTAGTGGATCTTGCATATGAATGCTAAGCACCATTCTTGTTTAGCAACTCATTATCTGAGAAGATAGAAAAAAAAATATCAAATACCTAACTAAACTACATGTACACAACCAGGATAACAGCTTAAATCCATAGTAATTAGAGTTAATCAAAGTAGAAGGTACCACACCATGGCAAACTAATGTAACTTGCTCCAAGGGCAAAGTTTCCAATCCATCCATTTTGTTTTAACTAGAAAGAAATGTAGAACTTAGTCAAATGATCATCGTAGGCAAAGGGAAAAGAAAATATAAAGAAAATGAAATTTTAAAACACTACCTTTAAAGGAGGTGCAGAATATATATATGACAGCAAGGATCCACCCACTGCAAGGTAAAATACTATAGGGAAATCATGCCCTGCCTGCATAGGAGAATATTTTCACCAATCAAGATTCTGATAATTTACACTCAGAAGTGATAGATCATGAGACTTGTGTACTGTACCCACCCATACGTCCAATAAACCTGCCAGGGCAAGACCTCCTAACAGAAGCACCCATATTTGAGTGATTACCTGCAGGATTTGAGCAAAAAGTGAAACAATAGAAGTAAAAATAAACACGTGAAAACAGGAAAAGACATCTAAGTCTCAGATTTACACTATACCTCATTCTCAGAAATTGCCCCAGAAGGAATTGGTCTATAAGGTTCATTTATTGCATCAATTTCTCGGTCATACCAATCATTCAGAGTCTAAGAATATAACATCCCAATAATTCAAAGTTATGTCAGTGATACTCCCACTAGTAGCAGTTGGCAGAATCTGATATCAAGAAAAGAATATTACCTGTGTGTAACCTGTCAGGAATGGGCCAGACATAGTCATGCACACTATTGATTTAGCAACATCCTCAATATTCCAATGAAAATTTCCTGCCCAGAAATCATTGTAGGTTGAAAACATTGAGGAGTTGTCTCAAATCAAATATATAATTGTATTGTATACCATGAAGGATGGAGAATTAAATACAAAACATTAAACATTTCTAAACAATATCACAGTAAATGCAGGACCAAACATTTGGTGACTATGCATATCATGTTTTAATGTTATGCTAACTGATAGAAAATTTGGTACCAGAAGCAGCAGCACCACAAACTACTCCCCAAACTAATGGAGGCCAAGTGACAGGCTTTGTAAGTTGAAGACGAATCTTCCATTTATTCTGTGAAACATAATAATCAATTAATTATCAAATACAAATATTTTCAAAAACAGTTATCTGACAACTGCAGTATTTTACTATTGCAGTAAACTTGCAGATGTAATTGTTAGTAATCCAGAACCAAAGTTAAGCTTACGGTGTGTCTCAGAATTAAACCATTGGTGGATTGTTAAAGACACATATTCAGATTAAGTTGTGCAGTACACAGGTTTGGAAGAGTTTACAAATAACAATATGAAGTGAAGATAATTTCCTATATGGCAGTTCAATCAGCAATCCAGTATTTCAGATTCATATCAGTTTGTTTACCAAGGACACATGGTTCACAATTTTAGTTGCACAAGAAAACACCCTTTTTCAATCATTCAAACAGTTCAATCTTATCTTACAAATTGCATTCACACTCCTTGAAATTCAACAAAATTTCATCGGCTACCCCTCTCTTTTTTTACATTACTTTGATCTCCCCTGATTCATATAATTGCATAAAAAAATTAACAGTGGATTTTGTAATTAAGAAGGGCATGTAATGTTATGTTGTTACATAAATTAAAGGATGCTTGTGTAGGATTTAAACAAAGAGGGGTATCAAATGAAATTTCATTAAACCTCAGGGAGTGTGACTGTAATTTTCCCGTGAATTGTTTTTACTCAATCACTTCGTAGAGTTATATATAAGTCTTTGGGCGAGTCATGATTTGCTATAAATGAAGTTTACACACACACACAAACGTATCGTTTGGGTTCTATGTTGGACATGACAGGAATCCAGTACAAGGCAGCACAGCGTCATAAATATACCTCAGTTCAGATTCTATGTGCAGGTTAAGCAAATTTTCTCTACAATAATTCACAGTATTTCATTCCCACAACTTATCAAATTTAAGTGACTCAAAAAATCCCACACTCATCCTGCAACTCCTGGATCTACAATACCGTCCAATTTTGTCACTGCCTGACAGATAATATCTGATTATGACCATTTCATGCCATAATGAAAATTGTTATCAATTTTCATGATCCACACAACAAATCTACATCATAGAAAGGAAATAAACTGCAATACAGTTGAGGTAGACTCACTGTTTCTTGGGCAGCTCCTTTAATACCAAGAAGCTGATTGAAGCTTGAACCATCTTTAGATGGTGCTGTATCTGGTGCCTGAGATTGAACTGCTCATACACCCCACCCAATAAGAATAAAAAAAACACAAAGAAAAAAGTTACCCTTTTGTGATAAATACAAAAATATTGGGAAATGAACAACAACATGAAAACATAGATAAAACCCAAAACCACCTTCATTAGTATCAGTTTCTGCGGCTCTAATGGATAATCTTCTCCCTGTAATGTCCATACAAACACCAATAATTTCAAACCCATTGAAACAAGAGTCATAAAAAAGCATAAAAGCTGCAATTTTAACCATGTTGGTAGCTGAGAAACTATGAAGAAGCATGTCTAGTGCGCACATTGGATATGGGAAAACAAAAGAAAACCCAAAAGGGTGTTCTGAACACACAAGAGTTCACTCTAAGAGCAACCAGAAAGAGCTGTTTTAAGTCAACCTACGAGAAATAGAGAGAGAAAGGGGAGGCAAAACAGGTCGAGCTTGAAGTGAAGGGATCCTCGTGTGTGTGGTTGACAATATTCTTGGCGGAATCGAAACCATGTTGATTAGGGAAGCCATTGAAGATTATGAGCTTGAAGTTGCCACAGAAACACACAGAGACACTGGTTATCGATCTTTTTGGTGGTAGTGATAGACTACAATATAAGAGTTTAAATATAATAAAGGAAATAGTAAGTTTGATTCCTAAACAATATTATTTACCCCAAATTTAGTTTTTTAATGAAAATATATTATTAAATAATCTCTCAAAATTTTAAATTACATTTTTAATAACATTTTGAGAGATTCTTTCTTTTTAATACAGTCCTCTCTCTCATTCATATTAATAATTTTAACTCTAAAATTTACTATGTAAAAGTTACTTATTCTTAAACATTTTTCACTAAAAATTACTCTAACTGTCACATGTATTTACTTTATCTAGCACACAATTTTAATTCAAAAAATTATTACAAACAAATTCCTTGTTAAATCTTTATAAAGTTCAGCATAAACAATGTTGTTAAACTCATTCAATAACTAGTTCAATCAATAAATCAGCAAGAGTAATATATTAGATTGAAGTCAAATTTAAGTTGTGTAATCTAGTTTAAATGGGTTGTAACCTGGTGCCAATTTTGTAAAATATTTAATATTAATTTCATCTTCTATAACAAAATTTAGATTTTAAAAATAAATCTTTTGACATCAATTATGACATAAAAATATCGATAAATAAGACATGTATACTATAATAATTTTTAGAATTAAATAAAATATAATTTTAAATTCTTATAAATATAGTTAAATTGAGTTTTATTTTTAAAATATTATTTAATTAATTTTAATCTTTATAACTTTTAAACCATTTTAAATAATTTCTATCACTATTTAGAATAACATGATATGCATTTAGAAATATCAAATAATATTGAAACATCTAAAGATATAATGTGATGTTGAAGCTGCATTACTAGATATATGTTACTTACTTATCATCGTTAAATGATAATAGAAATTATTTTTTAAGAAGATAAATCTATAAGGACTATAATTAAGAAAAAAAATATTAAGAAAAGTCTGAGTTGATCATGAGTTAAAAATATGGAAAAAGGGTAAAACAGAGCAGCATGAGGAAGTGGACTTCTATCATGATGCTTAAATTTAGTGCCCTTAATTAAAGACCAACACCAAATAATAATGCCCTAACATGATTAGTCTAGGAATCTCTTAATAAATGAGATCATTAACAATAATAACTAAGAGGGCAATAAAAAAAGTGTTACTACATTTGGTAATCACAATGAATCATCAAACTCATGGTACCGAGAATAGCTTTGTAAAATTGAAAGAATTTGATAATATTCGCCATTAACTCAAAAATTTGACTGATAATAATATTTTAATTAATCACGTTATCATTAAGGATTAAAAGAGTTTAATTTGGACAAATTAAAATTAATTTTGAAAAACTAAGATTAAAATTCACAAATATATAAACATTTAAATTATATTTAAACTTTAAAATTATTTATAATATTTTTCTTAAGTTTTATATAACTAATTTAAATAAAAATATATATAAATGATAAAGTTGTATTTTATAAAGGTTTCAGGCCATGTTTGTTATTTTTTATCTTTAAAAAATAGTTATTAAGGATGTGACACAAGAACTAAACAATGTATATTAAATTTTTTTTATATCTATTTTAAAATTTGTTTATGTAATAAATAAATATAGAAGAAAAAAAATTTAAAATAAAATTACTTTAAGGTAGAGTGAAAGAAAATATTAATTTTATCTTAAAATTGTAAAATAACTATTATGTAAAAAAATAAATTGACTTAAAAAGATTATTTTTTTTAAAGAGAGAATAACATATATGTTTGCATTGGCTAATCATGAAGGTCTTTTTCACCCTCATTATTTATATGTATATATATGGGAATTAAATTGACATATGATTTATTTTGGCATTTTTTAACACGGCTTTTCCCCTTCTTCCAACAAAGTAATCTATTATTCATACACTAACTTCCTCTTTTTAATTGATGGATCATTAAGAAAAGGTATTTTCAATCCTAACTATTATAACACCCTCATTTTTAGATGGCGTTAGTGATAGATTATTAATTGATGCTAGATAATGTTGGAAGGTATTAAGGAGGATTTTAAGTGTTTAATAAAGTTCTAGTGCAGGAGAATCTCGCTCAAGCGAGATCTACCTTGTTCAGGCAAAATTAAATGCTTAGGACCATTCCTTTCTAAAGCATTCTCGCTCAAGTGAGATCAACCTCGCCCAAGCGAGAACAAATCAAGTCGCCTCAACTGTCACTTTACTCAGGCGAGATAGAGTTTGCCCAGGTAAGGAGTCGCAAGAAAATTTAGAACTCTCTAGATACTCCCTTGCTCAAGTGAGAAGGGTCTCGTTCAAGTAAAAATATCAAAAAATGCGTAAGGAGCCATTGTCTGCACAGCTCGCCCAGGCGAGGTACTCCTATCTCAAGCAAAAGCGCGAGAGTTGAGGGTTATTTAAGGAATTTTCAGAGTGAGATATTTCATTTCATTTAATCCCCGTTTCGATTTCTCTCATTTTCTCTAGATTCTCACTCTCTTTTCTTAGAAAAATCTCCTCCAAACTCCGATTGTTAGTCAAATCCAAGATTGGACGCCTAATCTAAGTAATCCTTAGTAAGTTCCTCTGATGTTTAAGTTTGAGTATCCTGTTCATTTCTCACGAAGTTCTATTTTGAAAGGTTATCTCGTGTTGTTTAGGGAGTACTCTTATTTTAAAGGATCCTCTTCATCAAACTCTTTCAAGATCTTTATATCGAGGTAAGGAGAGTTCAATTCCATCATTAGAATGTAGCCATATTTGTATTCTTGAAACCTCAGTAGTGTTCGTTTCTATTGTGATAATTCTAAGTATTACGATAGGTTAATGATGTATATTTCTCTATCTTAGGAGGTTCAGTTAATGGTAATTGGTTATTTTGAGATAATATGAAATATGATTGGTTATAATATCTGATTTGGATTGAGTCTAGAGGTATCTGACCTCTGACAAAATTGATTGATTGATAGTTAGACTATAGGTGTAAATTGCATGATAGTGTGGTTATTGAATTTGATTGAAAGTTAAGTATATTTTGAAAATGAGTTAAATGATGAACAATATGTATAAAAAATATATGTATGATATGCATTATTTTGAAAATATTTGAACGGAATTGAATCTGGGAAGTGTGAAACTTTGATGAGATTGTAGAGTTATGAGATGTTTACTTACAGTACGTGAGTTGTAGCTAATTAATTGATGTGATTATGATATAGGTATTATGATACATCGACAGGTGTATTTATAATGTATGTATCGTAATACATTGAATTATATGGTCATAATACGTGTATTGTAACATGCTGATCTGCGAATGATGTATGGATTGATGAGAAAGGAATTAGTTTGAATAGCCACAGTGATAATTGAGAGTATGGAATATGGAGCTGATTATGAAAGTCTGGGAGAAATGTAGGGTGATGGATAACATTCGCTAAGGGTGCACAATTTATAAAAATGTGAATGCACCATATGGTTACACACTCGTTTCCTGACTAACACTTCTGACTATACTTTTGCTAAGGGGCCCTATAAGTGTGTATGTTGTATCCGTATAAATGGGTTAACCGGCAACTATTCACCTACTGTGTAAGACCTCATGAAATGTTAGAAGCAACTATAAAATGTGATCATATTATATGGGAAATTGTTTAGTAAAAAATGAAGTGAATTGGATATGTTATTGATATATGTAAGAGTGATGATGTGATGGGCTCATAATTAATGACATGGTGTTTTAATTGAGTTCAATATAGGTGTTTTCATAGAAATTAATGTATTCATCCTTGCATACAAAGATGTAAATAAATTTACATATTTATTAAAATATATTTGTTATTTATGTTTTAATTATGAGGAAAGAACTCATCCTTACAAAATATTTTAGGAACAAAAATGATGATTAGGATTAAACTCTCAGCGTTTAGACATGAATCATAACTGCTCTTAAAAATTTTGCTCATGATGGCTTTGTAATTACGTATTCTAAATTATATATATATATATATATATATATATATATTTTATTGATAGTTTGTAAAAGTATGTTTTTATATACAATTTAAATTTTGCACTTTAGATTATGATTCTTTTACTGTTTAAATTAATTATAAATATGTTTGACTGAAAAAAATTTTGATTTCTCACATATTGAAAATATCCGTTTTGGATAAGAACCAATTTATCCTTTTGGCTCATAATTTTTAAATATTTACATTACTCGTTTTCAATGAAGAATTGACTTGTTCGATTAGTTTACAACATATTATTATTTATTTTCATAATTTAAAAAGTAAAGTGTTATAATTATGATTTATTGATTTGACCGTTAAGTATAATATCACTGATTTTTTCATTTTTAATTAAAAATACATTTTTTTAATATAAATTTATTAACAAACAAAAAATTTAATTACATTCAATAATTTAAAATTAACTACACTCAACTTTAGAAAAGAAATTATTTTTCTCATATTAAAATTTTACTTAACAAAGTCGTATGTACATTTTATATTTTTTCTCAATAGACATTAAATAAATGTGATATATAAAAACTAGTAAAATAAATACAAAATTTATACATAACCTATTATATCATGTAGATCATACAGAGGATCTTCTCCCTCTTAAAATAAATAAATTGTGATAAAATCACCTTCCTTTTTTATTTTTATCCAAGTGAGTGAGTAGGGATTAGGGAAGGAGATATGCTTGTGATTTTTTTCTTATATTTTATGTCCTCTAACTTTATCACTAAACTAATCAATTAAGGGACTTTTAAGCAAATTTACTTTCAAATGCTATTTTATAACTAATATTCTCTTTGTACTGGTAACATAATGAAGTACATATTTAATTTCACGTTAACGTTTATTTTTATACTATTAATTATAACTTTTACATTTAATTTATGTTTATTGACTTCACTCTCAAATGTGACATATACTTCTTGTTCAAAGGAATCTTACAATATATTCTAAGGGAAGAAAATTATAAAATTTACTAACCCACTTTGGAGAAATGCAACTTGTTCTGTCACGACAAAGAGTTATAAAAGCATCAAATTGGAACTCTTTGCTCTCTCTCTCTCTCTCTCTCTCTCTCTCTCTCTCTCTCTATATATATATATATATATATATATATATATATATATATATATATATATTAAGGCCTTTTAGTTGGCATAAACAACAATATATGGTTGTGGACTTCAACTTCGAGGTTCTTTTCCTGTTAACAAACAAAAACAATATTGGTTTGAAATCCCAACAAGCTAGTAAAGAGATCCTGCTACAATGGCCAAACACGCTATGAGTAAATTTTTAAAAAAATATATCTTTGATACTTTATAAGATTTTAAATGTTATTTGTTTGTTTTGATGCATAATAATGCCTCTAGCACTAACCAAAAACAGATAAAGTCAAGATACATAGTGGTCCATGACTACATTAATTATTTGCTAAGCACCCATGTTATGTTTTGTAAAAGTACACTCTTTATTTTTTAGGCAGAATATTTTAGTAAATTATATTCTTAAGTGTATTATAAGAATCAAAATTATAGTTTATTAACAAATTTAGTTAATAAAATTAAAAAAAAACTAAAATATTATTTATCATATACCCACGTGAAATTAGATTCATGGTCCTGCAACAAGATTATTTGGCTTAGAATCTACTATATTTTAATAAAATAGATAACATAAGGAATAACGTCAATCACTCCAAAAAAAACTAATTTGATTTTCTTGTTTTAGTTACGAGGCAAATAAAGCTAACATTTTAACAGATATAAAATTGTTGGGTTAAACCAATTTGAATTCAAGCATTATATAATCAAGGGCGTTCTTGACTTTTTGAGACTCTAGACAAAATAAAAAATTAGAGCCCTTTAAAAAAATTATAAAATGTAATAAATAAAATAAAATAATATATTAATAATTTTATTAAAATAATACTTTTTCTTAAGTAACTTTAATTTTTCTAATAAAATTATAAAAAAAATATTCTTTCATTCAACCAACTCTTATGTTATAATTAACTATAAAAACATAGAAAATCATAAAAAATGAGTTTTACGAGCATTATGAGATGCAAAATATCCATGATAACATTAACATTAATGTTTTTTAAAAATTCTTTATAGATTGATAAAATTGTAAGACCATTCAACGGTTCTTGTAACATTGATGACCTTGGTAGGTTTTGATTAACTTTAACTTTAAAAAACTTCTTTCAGTTGATGATATAGTCATTGGGACCGTAAATTTTTTTTTATAATTGATTAAAATATTTAAATAACAATTTGTAAATTTGACAAACTTAGTAACTATTTAATTTTTTTTGAAAAAAAACTAAAATTCTCCATGAGATTTAATGTTAAAAATAGTAAAATTTTAAAATTAAATGAAGTTTTGAGTCTATAAAGGTCAATGAGTCAACTACATTTATAGCAAGTGAGGCGCGAGAAATTGAAAAGTTTTTTTTGTTTTTCTATTTTTTCTAACTGCAAACTGTAAGAGCTGAAATTTTTTTCGAGTAAAAGTAGGACACAATTTTTACTTTGGGTCCTCTTTTAAGCTTGGACCCTAAGCGATTGCACCTCTAAATTGGGCCTGTATATAATTTAAGATAATTTAGAACCAGATATGTTCACATGCATATTCTTTAATTAGAGCATACTTAATGAAATTTTTTTAAATTATTTCTTAAAATAAGCAACAGTTCCTTCTTTCATTTCATCGTTAGAGTTGCATAAGTTGATGCACACATGACAACATTTTTCTTTTCTATAAGATGCGTTCCTAAACCAAAACACATGGGACTAGCATTTTATAATCATCTTCAGCAATAAACTAGTTAGTTTGGGAGATAAAATTGTAGGCTCTATTTAGTAATTTTATAGAGTTGTACCGTCGGAGAAAGAAATTATTCAAGTTGCATAAACTTAAATAAAAATATTATTAATGATAGTTTTAACTTTTGTATGTTTAAGTATTTAAAAGTAACAATTTTAATGTAATAAATATGTTGATTCTCAATCAATCTTAGTGCGGATTAAAGAATATCCTTAACTGTGACCTCATTCCCGAATATCTTTGACAATATTTTCATTCCACTTTTTGAGGTTACTGTGGATCCTGACTCACATCCTCAGCTACATGTTTTCTTGAAACAGGTGTGGTACAATTTCAATCTCTTTTGATATTTTAGGAAGATAGGAGTTTCTGGTTACTTGTGCTGATGGTAGGGATTGTATTCTATGACCTAATACATTTTATTAAACAAGTAAATGAGTGTAAAGACTAAAAACATGCATTGCCAAAGTAGAATTTTGCTGCTAGCTTTGCTTAGTGATTCTAAATTCTTAAGGTCTTCCCCTCCTGCCCCAACAAAAAATAAAAAAGATTTAATGCTGTACATATTTGATCAATCATATTCTAGTTATAGATCAAAATAGATCATGTTCTATTAAATTTTCTTTCCTTTTCTTGTGCAAGATAGTATTCAGTGCCACCTATTTATTTTTCTTTTTCTATTTTTAGGTTGTTGGGTTGGATTTGGTGGATGATGAAAGCAAACCTGAAAAACAGACCAACAAAACACATTCCAACCCCGACTCAGTGGACTAACATATTCAATCCGGCATATTCATACTATGTCTATTATTGTTATGCAAATCTTTACACCTTAAACGAGATCTGTAACTTGTTCTACCAAAGAACTTCATGCTTGTGACTCAATATTTGGGTAGCTATTCACTGCACCACCAAAGAAAACTCTATTGGCTGATAATGGGAAAACAAAAAGGAAAATTAAGTGGTTGGGTCTCTTCTTCCTTGTATATACTATCTAGCACAAGTTAAATATTCTGTCACTGTTAGTATTAAGATTGTTACTGTATATATTCTATTCATTGCTTACATCTTTCCTCAACCTAGATCCCCTTAAGTATGTATTTCCCTGTTCCTAGATTACCATCGTAATCCTTCACCAACGTTCTTTTTGAGGGGTTTGAATGTTTCCCTTTCTACTGATGATCCACTCCAAATTCACTTAACAAAGGAACCATTGGTTGAAGAGTATAGAATAGCTGCTTCTGTAATCTTTCTGTCTCTCTCTCACACTACATGGCTTGTAAATAGACAATACTAACAATCAAGACACCTCTTCCTCTATAGGTATGGAAGTTGAGTGCATGTTATATTTGTGAGATTGCCCATAATTCAGTTTATCAATCAGGTTTCTCAAATGTCTTGAAGGTAAACTAATCTTGACATTGCTCCTGTGATTGATAATCCTCTATCCCCAAGACAGCTGTTTTCTTTTTCCTCTGAAGATCCCCACAAGCCCACTGGGGGTGTGGGTTAGGTAATGCTGTTTGTTTCTTCAAAACCAAATCTTTTGCAGCTGTAAATTACCTACTGTCCTTGTAATGTTCAAGTACTACGAAAATTGAATGTGGACTTTGGTATTATTCAGTTATTATCTCTAATGTTCAACAAGGCAGCACCTGTCCTTGGAAAGTTGGAATGGTAGAAGTTGTAAAGCTAAGAAAATTTCTTCATGAATGTTACTTGTCATGTAAAATTTTATTTAAAGATACACTGGTCCAACTTAAGAGGCAAATGGGAAAGTACCACATGTTGGCAAAGAACATGACCATTATCAATATTTCATGCCATCATCCTGGTGCACTGTAGTCCATTCTCCTTCAGCATTTCTTATTTGAGTTTTAAAATAAAGAAATTTTAACAGAATTACATGGATTAGAAAAAGATAAAGAAAATAAACTTCTGTAACCAGTTATATACATAGGAGAGAATATGGATTAGTGAACCTAATTGTTCATAACTGCAAGGTACTTATTCACAATATTAATTTAGTTATAATGATGAAACTGAAAATAATAGAGGCTGAATGCAAACTGGGAAACTACTGGAAGGATAATATATAATGAGGTACTGGTATCAAATAAATGGATGCATATTTTTGTTTAAATTTGCACTCAACTGATATTTTTTCTTGTGTCAGTCACATTGGATTGGTAAGGAGTATTACAAGAGAGGGCCAAATGTTTATGACATTCACAAAACAAATGTTCCTCACATTCGGTTGGAATTCCGAGAGACGGTATGGGATCAATAAATGCTTAAATTTCTATATGTAACTTGTTCTGTTGCAAATTTTTTTCACAGAATTATGACTTTAATATTTACCCTAGATTCTTCATATTGTTTAGTTGAAACATGCTATATAAACAATTTGGGATTATTGCTTCCTTGCCTCCGAATCTTCATTGTCTGGCCTATTTCGATGGTTTATGATACCAAGGTCTACAGTTTTACAATTGTTTGATATTTAAAACGTCAACGAGGTTGATCCATGTTTTCCTAACTCATTCTCTTGAAGCAAAGGGAAATCTCAGAATGTGATTGGGCATGGCACCCATTAAAGCCCAAGTCATTCCAACATTAGTACTATTCGAGGAGAGAAATTCGCTCTCAAATTTTTAGTGCAATAATTGAGTATTTATATTCTCAAAGCAAATTTTTAAAAATTATAAAAATTATTTAAGTTTTAAATTATTAAAAGGAAATATATTAGATGTCTTGTAAAATAAAATAATAATAATAGCAGCTAAATTAATTAATAAATGTATATTGCATATACATAACAGTATTAACAAAATTATTTATTATATTTTAAACTAATTTAGATTGTCCTAAATGCGTGAACTAGCTCACATTTAAACCGAAGTAGAGAAATTCATGCAGAAGACTAATGGAGAGTGCAACAATTAAAACGATACCGCAGTATTTTTCCTTATTTAGATGCCACAAGGAAATGTTGAAGATGGAAATTGTAATAACGTTACATGTTAAAATCCACACAAATAACAACATATCCCCAAAATTTTTTGAAGCATGATACTAAAGTTTCTAACCAATGAAACAATTGACACCAATTAAATTGCCCATAAGACTCAAATCTTCAGAATCGCCTAAAAAGGAACTAGCCTTCAGAAGTAAATTCAGACTCGCTGATTTAGTTTACTACCATAAAGCCAAAACTCTGACAATTTTTTTTCCACAAGGAAGAAATGGGGGGTATCAATAGCACTGGTGTGCCGATTATTTCTTATACTGCTTTACCTCTTTAATTACTCCATCAGCAAGTGAGTCAACATCATTGTTCTTGCCGAAAAACTTTACAAATTCCATATCAGGACTCATCAAGTATCTGGAAAGAATTACCATATTATGAAATTCAAATTAGCATTCATTATTCAACGAGTATAATCCTTTGAGAGCTATATAATGTGGCAGATGCAAAAATATATACAATCACATATGCACAGATAACAAGGAAAATGTATGAGCATATTCACAAAAAATAAAAAATCAATGTAGAGGGGTAAAAAGAAAAATGGAAGTATCTCACTATCCACGCTAATTGCTTAACAAATAGCCAAAAGAGGTGTGTTAGAACACACTCTTTCTAACATACTGTCATTTATTGGTTGAATTTATTAAAAATTACAAAAGTATAGTGAGAATCATTAAATTAAAAGTGGGACAAACATGACTTGTGATTTTCAATAAATTTCAACTAATAATTAAAAAAGTGTTGTTAGTATTTCTTAATAGCAGAAATTCCTCTATCTGGTATGATAACACAAACAACTAAAATTTAAATAGAAATTTATTAGAATCATTTAAATATTCTATCAATTTAATTCAGACAAAGTTATTAAGAACTTTTCTGATGGCCAGACGTTTAAAAGTTCCAAATAAGATGGATATACATTAGTGCGTGCATGTATGCATAATACTCTGTCCTGATGAGTATTATGGTCGTTACCTACGCAATCATTACTTTCATCGTTTCCATAGAAATATTTCAAAGATTAGGTCATTTACAAATTTCAATGATTAATGACAGAGACAAACTGCTAACACACCACTGAAAACAAGTGGGGAACCAGAATGTAGCATGCATGAAGCAGAAATTAAAATACTTACATAACTATGGAGTGATCAACAAGATAATCTGAGTCTTCCTCTGCTGTCTTCATGTAATAAACGCGATATGCACGGGCAACATTCTTTATCTCTTCCGGGCTACCAGTTAATCCAATTAATTTAGGATGAAATTCTGAAAAATACAAATTAACACAACGACCATAGAATTAAGCAAAAATGTCTAATCTGCATATCAACCCCCTGCCCCCTGTCAAAAAAAAAAAAGGAACAAACACAACAGATAAAAGAAAGTTCAGAAGTATGATGCCAGCACCTTTGACATATTCACCCACTTGTTCAACAGTATCCCTCTCAGGATCTACAGAGATAAAAACTGGCACAAGTTCCATTCCAGCTTTCTGCTCTGCAGGGAACCAATAGACATGGATATGATTACCATTAATACATTATATCAAGTTCAAAAGTTAAAATCAAACTGTAATTCACCTTCTCAAGCAGTCTTTAAATCTTACAGCTGATGCAACATACAACTGTCAAAAGTCACTCTTCTCACTCTCATAATAAACTAGGGTACCCACTATATACACCCCTACATGTATAGGTGTTGGCTTAGTTGCCATGGACTTGAGGAGAAAAAGGTCCTCCATAGGTTAAATCAATTTGTCAAGGCAGGATTTGAAATTTCATTTTAATCATCATTGCCATTAAGAATAAACCTGACACGTACCTCTCATGAATTTCACTATTTCGGACCTCTTATGGTAGTTAAATTGCATGAGTTCATTGACTACTATGATGAGAAATAGAGCATATCTTGCTCTGACAAGTATGAAAAACACACCATATACCAACAACAACAAATCACCTGTAAAAACTTACTTATTTTATCAACAGCAGCTACTAACTTCTGTAGTTCTTCTGGACAGATATCTGGGCAGTGAGTAAAGCCAAAATACAACAAAGTCCATTGTCCCACAAAATCCTTTTCAGTTACACGTTTCCCGTGATGGTTGACAAGGTGAAATGGACCCCCAATCGCAGCTCTTCCTGCAGAAGGTCCCTGCTTAACAGCCTCTGAAGCATTATGTATTTCTACAGAAAAAATGTCAAATCAATATAATGGAAGAACAAAATATCCATATGATACATCAGAATCAAATTGAAATGCAACAGGAATTGGAGCTAATGCTATTTGATCCAATTTGTTTCCAACAACCCGTAAGAAACAAAAATATGGCAGAATACATATAGTACATCCTCGAGCTAGATTTGACTCTTATAAGGCTATATAAAATACACAAGGAATCATGCCATAGTTTCTTTTTCTAGGAATCCCTTAAAAATTCATTTGATAAATTAAGCAAACAATCACTCAGCCGAGACTTAGAAATTAGAATCCGAATGAACATGCAATTACAAAGACACAACTACATGTTAACCACAAAATACTCAACTCACCATAGTAATCTACCTTCAATATGTCGTTTCTTTTCCCTGTCATAGTAGAATACCAATCCAGCCCCAGTGAGAACCAGAAGAAGAAAGCTCAACCAAGAAACAGGCTGCAAGACACTATGACAAATCAGCTCACAAGTCTAACTTATATCAAAATTTACACTAACTGAAAATTCTCAAGGAAAAAGAACAACTAAATTGCTAACAAAAACTTTAGATACACACCCCTCCACGAACAGGTTTTCCTTCATCACTTTTCTGATCCCGTTCTTCTCCTCCAGACTCTTTTCCTTGGCCAGAACCAACTTTTGCAGATTGATCTGATGATGGGTTTTCTTTATTAACAGTATCAGAAGCAACACCAGATAGAAACCTCCGAAACAGCGCCAAAGACCCATTACCAAAACCTTGATTCCCAACCTGTTAATTCAATAGAAAGCTATACATAATGAAAATTGGAACCAACCCAATTGAAATGGAAGAAGAAGAATGAGAATCAGTCAAAGCAATGAACATTATGTGGAAACTGCATCTAAAAAAACAAAAAAAAAAAATGATTTTTTTTCTTTTAGGTAAATAATGAAGGAAAGAGAAGTGAACCAGGTGACGGTGATGGGGTGGTTGAAGAAGAGGAGAGAATGGTCTGCAATAACGAAGAAGGCGAAAGGAATAGCGAAAGTGGTTGGCTTTGGTGGATATGATGGACGCCATTAGATGAACTCTCTGCTTCGCAAAAACCGTAACCTTAAACCCTTTAATGAGATCAAGGACACGGGGTTTTATATTTGGAAATTGATGTTTCTTCAAGTTGCATTTTATACAACATCTAATTTTTAATTTATTTTTATAATAAGCCTTTTGATTTAATTTATTTAAATAACTTTTTTTAATAAATTTCATGACAAAGTTTATAGTATTTTTTATATATTAAGAGTTTTTAAAAATAAATATTTAATTCAGGTTATGTGAAAGACAATTTTTTTTGAAATTTCATACAAAAAATATAAGTTATTTTTCATTTGGTTGAATTATTAATGGTATATTTTATTTTAAGAGATACTTATAGTTTTTTGTAAGCATTTCAAAGTAAGTTTTCTAAATAATTAAATAACTGATTTTCTTTTCAGATTTTTTTTAATTTGAAGAACGAACATACTATATATATATATATATATATATATAAGAAAGGCTGAAATGGACTCTAAATTTGATATATCTTTAATATAAATTAAATTTATGTTTCCAATTGCTCCAATCCATCCAATATCACAATATATTTAATTGTATATATATTTTTATAACATATAAAATGTTAACCCCAGCCCTAAAGGTTCAGGATATTTTTTTTTATAACATATAAAATATGTATTTTATTATTCAATTTTTTTATTTATGAATGTTTAAACTCATCTATAAAGAGAGGTTAATGAAATTCTTAATAAATTTATACAGAGATATTTTATTTTATACTATATTATATGTTTTTTAAAATTTTCACTTTTAAAGTTTCGTGACTTAAATACAGATAATAATTAAAATTATATATTTTATCAAAATATGTGGCCAACTCGGTTTGCATTAAATTATGCATATCCCAATGCATCCTATGCTTTAATAATTTGTTTGAATATGATGAAAAAGAATAAAAAAATACAAATAAAAAATATTTTTTGTTTACTTAAAAAATTTAACTTTCAATTTTTTCTCTTCTTATTCTTCTTTCAATTCAAACTTTTTCTTTCATTTATTTTCTTTTCTTAGAACTCATCGTAGGGACATGCTACTTCACAATAAAGTCACGTTACTTGGGTAGCTATGGCATTTCACTGTCAAACTTCCAAATCACTTGATAAAATAAAGCTTGTTTCTCCCCTTTAATGTTATGTCATGAAATAATTAGAACACCAATGTTGAATTTTCCTTTTTTTAGAATTTTAATTCAGTAACATGCAATACATGGATATCGTAAAAAAAAAAAAAAAAAAAAGCTATATAGAAGTTTATATTGTTTCTTCCCCAAATGTAAAGACTACGTTTTTATATCAGCCTTTGCTGACTTAAAAAAAAACTCCAGGTATTATTTTTCAATAATGTCTCCTTAGGTAAAATAAAATAAAATAAAATAAAATCAGACTCTAAAAATAGTTGAGAAATAAAAAATTTTCAACAAGAGCTTGGTTTTTAAAAACAATTTTTTCTTTTTAAAAATAAAAAAATAATTTATTAACATAAGTTTTTATTTTTGGTTTTTTCTTAAAAATTGTTTTTAAAAATAAAAAAAACAGAAATAAACAAACTCTTAGTGTTTCCCATATTATCTTTTTAAGCAAACAATGACTTTTTTTTACAAAATAAAAAAATCTACAGGAAAAAAATAATAGTTGAAAAAGATTGATTTTGAAAATATTTTTGGTGCAATGCTCTCTAACTTCTTATTTTTTGCATGAGAATATCTTTGATATATGGAGCATAAAAGATATTTACGTAATACACCTCCATTTTCCCCCTAGACACATCAAATTACTTTTTAGGAACTGATTTTTTTTATGTTAAAGCCATTTTCATACTAAATGCACTTGGGAATTTCTTATAACTTTTTTTTCTATACAAAGAGAAGTATAAAAAGTACTCATATATATATATATATATATAACTTCAACTTTACTAAATCAATTTTTAGCATATCTTTTATTATGATATCTTTGAAGTTCACATTACTGATTACTGCTTATAATTAGATAGTTTATTGTCTATGTTAATAATTTTGTATTTTGACCTTCATATAAAAATGAGATTTTTTATCAATAAAAAAATTAGATTTTTTGACTTTTTAAAAACTTGCTTCAACATGTTATTTATATATCTTTTAACACATAATTTTTTTTTTATCACAATACTCATTTCATTACGCACTTCTCTCTCTTTCGGATAACAATGCTTTCTTATTTTTCACTTTATTGTAAAAAAAAAAGTATATAATACTCTCCCTCCTTTTTTTATATATTTTAAATATTTTTTTTAACACATAGTATGTATATATCAATATTTTTTAAGCTTAATTATAAAAACACTCCCATTTTATATATATTAATTGCTAAATTCTTTGCATGGCCTCATGTATTGTAAATTTTGTTAACAAAATACTTGCTCATTACTCATATATGAATTCATTCATTTAATATATTAAACATCAATTTAATTATTTAATACTAAAAAATATTTTTCAAATATAATATAAATTTATAACATTTTAATATTTTTTATTAGTCTCAATAAATTAAATATAATTTTTTGAGACAAAAGATAATAATTAGGAAAGGTGTTCCACCAACAAAGTAATCCCTTAAAAGAGGATGAAACAAATAAAATGTGGATAATTTTTTGGCCGTGTTGTCCAACCATTTTTGCGTTGCCTAGTAAAAAATTCCAATAAGTATACAAAGGGGGGAAAATAAATAAATTATGACACAGTTATATTAATAAATTATAAATTGCATACTTCTTATGTAAATAATTGAACATCTACACAAGCAGAGTTGGTCAAATTGATGGGATAAATTGGATCCGAAATCAGCACTCTCACCCAGCCATTCGCAACAGCCGCTACAACTACAACTCTTGGACATATTTCAGTGTCACTATAGCTCGAACAACACATTCACCATAAAATGATTTACAACAGTCCCATTCACATAGGATTCACTAGACGGGTAAAGTGAATATAACAATTGTATTATTTTGTAATAATCAGTCTTCAACGGTTTCAAATAAAAAGCAGACTGATATTTTGTGACATGGTATCAGTGTCATAAATATGACTAATATCCTAGTCCTGTTATCAGTTCACCAAACAAAATCTAAGAAGCCACTACCATCCCAACTTTGAGATTACCAGATAAGAACCAAAATAAATTATTACAAAAGAAATTTACATACATCCGGGCTTGTCTCCTGAAACATCTTGGGCAAAGAGAGTTTGGACTTCATATCTTCAGCAATGTAGAAAAAGAATACCCAAATTACTGGTTTTTGAAAGACTGGAAGCAGCAAAAGAGAAAAAGTATAGTTAAAAAGATGATCATCACATTGTCAGTAGCTGATTTAGCATAATATTGACAGCATACAACCTCCATATTTTTGGAGATGTCCTTTATCTGCTCAGCTAGCTCCTGCTTCTTCTGAACAGCTGCCAGAATATATAACAGGAGTGAAACTGATTTGTTCATGCGGTCAATTAAGTATCAAGAGACAATTACTTTGCTACTACTACCTTTGCTTGAAATATCTTCAATTCTTTTTGATGTCCTCACTGCAAACCTCTGAAATGCAGGGCTGTAAAACAACAATGAAATGTTTACTTGAGCGAATGAAAGAAAACATAAACTACAACAGTGAATGAATTTTGTTTAATCTTAATTGGATAATTCAAAAGCAGGAAAACATTGGATATTGAATGCACACGCACCCATGTTATAAAAATCCGAGTACTTGATTTGGAATAGTAAGGGAAATAATTGAAGGACATCATGGAGACTACTAGAGGGCTGGATGATTGCTATTCTCTAAAACAAATTTTTTTCTCTTTTTAAAACCAAAACAAAAAAAAAATTATTGTGGAGTGCATTTTTTAATATGATTATTTTGAAAACTTGTCTTCCACAATCATTTTTAGATTGAAAAATTGAGAGCACGCTTTAGTTGTTTCTATTTCTCTCCTCCCACCTCAAACCCAACCAGTACCTTCCCCTCTCCCATCCCATTTGCCACCCTATAACCGCCACTGCCACCGCAGCTGCCAACAAAGGTTTCCAAAATTATTGAGGCCTGAGGTAGCCTTTGGGCAAAGTCTTAACAATGCCACTGCACTTGAGAGGGCAATCGATGGGAAGGGGGTGTTCATTGTGAAAAAGATGTTCCGTGGAATGGACAAAGCATTCCATGTTGGAAGGGGATTTATACTTTGAGTGGGATTAGGATCTTTGCCTTGAACAACATAGGCTCCTATGAGGAGATTTCCCTTCTGAATATCTCTGAGGAGAAAAAGATGTTGGGGAGAATGGAAAAACCATTCAGAAGAAAAGGGTATCCTTGATCTTTAAAAACTAGTTTTCAAAACAAAATTTATAAAACAAATTTTTTAATATTTTTATTCTGAAAATAATTCTGAAAAAAATATTTCCATGAGATGATAATTTTTAAAAACAAGAGAGAAAAAATAGAATCAAACAAGCCCTAGTCTTGATTTTGAATGGATTGATGGCATACATAATTACATATAATTGTACTCATATAAATGCTTTCACGGGAAACATCACTCAGCATAAACGCTTAACAAATGGAGAAGCAAATCTTCTTGAATCTTGATCAAGAACCTCTTTATAAAATTAATAAAATCAAAGTTCCCAAGTTAATTCTCGTAGTCACTTATGGGATCCTTACAAGCCTATAGAGTCATCATTGGTAATGGAAATTACTACCAGAATCAGGCAAGGGCTCAAAAATTCATAATATAATGTGATCAAGACTTGGCTAGACAACAAACTTTTATAGGCACTGAGCAATAAAGTTTGACATGATTAATATAAAGGAAAAAAGGCCAGCTGGAAAGTTTATACAAAACAGTTAAAATTAAATAATACATTAAAAACTTATGCAAATAAGACATTAAAATCGAAGGAAAAATGTTCAACCCCTCAGTCCTATGGATGTCAATTCTTGCAGTCATCTCTGCATCATTGGCATTAGGGGTGACCATAACCCAGTCTAGCTTGAAGCTGATTGGGTTCAATTCTGATAAAGGTAAACCAAAAACCCAGTTAATATCTGGGTCAGAGTTCAGGTCATTCCAGGCAAGCTAATGCCCATCCAATGTGACATTAAAATTGAAGAGTTATATTTTTCAAGAAAAGGAGTAAAGTATAATTCTTGTTGACTTAAAGTGATACCTTATAAATTAAATAACTTAAATTGATACAATTTATTTGGAAAAATATAATGTTAAAAGTCACTAAAGCAATCTCACCATATAATCTAGTTTTTGAGGTTTAGTTAGTTTCAAGCCTAAACTTAAGATGGTATCAAATCTTATTATAAATATGATATTGAACCACCCTTGACTGTAAAGCAAGAAGCTAGCTCCAAAGATTTTTCCAGTGCAAATTAGCCTGGCCTCGGATTTCCCAGTGCAAAACATGTATATAATAAACCCTATAATCTTCACGCACCAGATGTCAAGTTTTTCTGTAATTAGTGAATATTTTTGAAACATAGAAATGGACAGACAGTCAATTCATGAATTCCACTGATCAATGTACTACTAAAGCTAGGTCATCCTAAGGGGAGTTTTTATGCAGGCATGGATATGGTTCATTCAAGTTACACAAAATTTCCATTTTCCATATTTTTCTTTATCCCCTTGCCTGATTCCTCTATCCAAAAACAGTGTGTAGGAAATCAAAGAAAACAACAATAACAATCTTCGAAAATTAATATTTGCTCTAGTCAAACACACAAGCACGAGTCATATCCACATTGCATCTAACACAAATTTTCTAAAAACCATCGGCAAAACTAATATAATGAAACCCGTAACACCAATTATCGTAAGTATATATGTGCTCATGCAGCAAACCTCTTAAAATTCCAATGCAAACATGTTGTTCTGGAGAGACTTAAAAAACTAAAAAAATTGACTCTCTCATGCATAGATCAAAAGCAAAATTTTAGAAAAAGAAAATTAAAAATGGAAGCACCGCGTACCTGTTGGCAAGACCATTGACAACCACCTCATTCACCACGTACGAGATAACCCTGTTCATGAAATTCGCACCCCCGGCCATGTTTGTTTCTCAACTTCAAACTGTAAACGATTCAAATATTACCAAAAAAAAAGGGACCCTTAAACGTTTAAGCTAAAAGTTTTGAAATTTTCACGTAGTTATCGATAATCCCTATTTTATATTTTTCTAATCCTATGTTTTTTCTATCTGGCGAAATAAAAGGAGAACCAGAACACAAATTAGGGTTTCAGAACAAGAAATCGAGAGCTGAGAATTAGAAGAATAAAATAAAATTGGGTACAAATTGCAAACCTAAATCGGAAAAAGGATTAAAGTGAGAGATTGTGAAATGGGGAACAATAGAAGAAGCGTCTGGAATCAGAAAAAGGCGGCGAAGTGCAAAACGTTGGGTTGATTTTCGTTTATATTCCTGAAACCATAACACTGTAAATAAAAAAAAATAAAAATCAAATATTGAGTGCTAAAACTGTAATTTAAGACGCTAAAATGTGTAAAATGATAAAGGGTATCTATCTATCTTTGGATAAACACGTTAATTAAATGCTTATTTAATGAATTTTAAAATAATATTTTATATCATAAATTTAATTATAAAATTATTTGAATAAATTAAGAAGAATTGGTTTTATTAAATTTATTACGATAAATTTAAAAAGTTATAAATTATTCCTGCAAATGAGTTCATAAACTCTACCAAAACAAGAGTGCAATGCAATTACTACAATCACATTAATATAGTTTAAAGTTTAAAAAAAATAATATTATTTAAAATTTATGCAAGATTCTTTCATAAACAAAATAATAAAATTATACAAGACTCTGATCCAATTTGGTAATATGACCTGATGATGACTCAGTACCAACTACGAAGTAAAACACCCTGATTGGCGAGTCCTAAATTAATTTTAATAAATACAAAATACAAGCTCACATTGATTAAAAAAAATAAAAATAAAAATATATGAAAAATTATATCAACATATGTTATCATAGATTTTTTATTCATTAAATTTTAATTAGCATTTTAAAAATACTCATTAATAAGACTAACACGTACTCATAATAAAGGGTACACTAAAAAGGGCTTTTTAAAGAATGTTTGAAAACCATTTTACGAAAATAAATTATCAACGAGTATATGCCAATTTGAGAATTTTGAACATATTTTATTTTAGAGTAAATTCATAAATTGATCTTTGAAATATACATTATTTTTTTATTTTAAAAAATTTTGTTCTATATAATTTAGTCATCAATATGTTAATTTACTCATATTTTGGTCTTTTTAAAAATTTAAATGATCTGCGAAAGTATAAATATGAATAATTTGATCCTCAGGTATGCTAATTTTGTTAACATTTTGCTTACATTTGTGAGAGAGAATAAGCATAATGTAAGTAAGTTAACGTATTTAAGGACTAAATTGTATAAAGTAAATTTTTTAAAGACAAAATAAATAAAATGGTACTTCCAAGAGAACAAATTATATATTTACTATTTTTGTTTTATAAGTATATATACATGAAATAATAATAAAAATAGATAATTAATTAACGATAGTAACAATGTTAGTAAATTATTAGTAAAGTTTAATGTAAAATGTCAAAATTTAAATTACAAAATTTTTATAAGCATATTAAATATAAGAAATGAGTAGGGGTCAAGTTACTTTAGGACTCTGCTTAATAACTCCTCATAATCATTAAATTGTATTAATCCAACAGTTGAATAAGGTTATATGTTTATGTAAATTATGCATATCAAATTTGAGATGAATTAGATATTTATAGATATGTAATTTTATAATTAATATTTCTTTATAATTTAAAATTGTATATTAAATGTTAAAATAAAGTTACTCAATGAATTCTTAATCAGTTTTTTATTTGTATAAGGTTTTCTTACGTTTGATCTATTAAAAGAAATTATAATTAAATAATTAAATTGACAAAATTCAGTATTTATAAAGAGTTATTAAGTTGAGTAACTCTTGTCAGAAGAATTACTTCTAATTAACCTGATCTCTACTCATAAGAAATATATATACTCAATGATCAATAACGAATGATAATTAGTATGTTAAAAGTTGAAGTGCATTTTCTCTAAAATGGAAGTTTGAATTGTGAAAATGTTTTTGTTTTTCAATTTCAAATTGTTGCTCCACAATTATGTAGGAGGATAAGAAATTTTCCATCCCATCATCTCTTGTTTTGTAAGATCATTTAAATAGTAAATTCTTTTTTAACAAAGTTTTTTAGTTTCAATGATTTTGGTCAACTGTACATTGAGCAATTAAAAACAACAGTACTCAACTTTAGGCACAAATCATGCCCAGGTTTGATCAACAAAAAGTGATTTCGACAAGATATTTAAGACTTGAAAGAAAAGAAGAAAATGGAAATGCTTTTTATTTCAAGACAACTTTTGGTCATAATAAGTCATGAAATTTCTGTGCCTTAATATCACTTGCACAAGTGACACTCATTGTGAAAACAGAACTTGGCTTTGGAAAATGACTATGTATGCATCAATGCGACAAGGTACAATGTGACCCTTTAGGTGCATCAATGGTGTCTAATGTGTCAATAGTTACAATGCGTGTATTTTTATATCACACAAATGGCATTTCAAGATGAATGTACACAAGCAAAATAATTGACATCTTCATGTCAGAAGAGAGTAAAAAAAGGGAAAGAAAAGGCATGGATCTTTGTGCAAGGTATTTGTTATAGCATAGCAAAAAATATTTGATTCCATGTATCTGGAACTCCAGGCAAACACCAGTGTATGCAATCTGCATTTTGTGGATCAGCCCTTTCCTCTTCAGTTAACAATTTCCCTCCAGTTTCAGTGTAAACTGAGGAATGTCCATCAATTCTGTACTCTGATATTTGTGTTATGTTGATGAAAGTCACAGGAACTTTCATTTTCTTCACCACTTTGGCCACCACACTCATAATGCCCTTATCAGAACCTGTTCCCCAGTGCTTCTTTTTCCTCACTGGCTTTGTCTCATTGAAGCATTTCACACCTTCCATGTTGCCCCAGTCTTGACTTCTGAGAAATAAAATATTTGACTTGTTAGAATCTTAAGCATTTTGCTCATACACACAGTTCTTAACAAATTTTCAAGTTTATAAAGCAAGGAACTGCTTGGGTTATCACATGTCTATAAATGCTAAATGGTTAAAAAAGTTCACCTTAGATTTAAAGAAATAATTGTTCTTTTCTAAAACAAAACTAAAAGAAATAGGCAATTATTACTTCAAAATAAGCTTAACTAAACATGTACTTGGCTTAAACCTTAAGTTGCTATAGCAAGCTGAACTTAATGTTTTCTTAAGAGAAGGGACCTTGTGTGTGTTGGTGACATAGTTGTGAAAAAGACCCGGGTTTTGTTTGGATTGATAGTTGAGTCGATCCAGTTGGCCCATGTCTTCAAAGCTAACTTGTAAGCAATTGGGGTGTCAAATTCTTCATACCCTTCTTCACCATTGCGAAACGAACCCCATCTGAAATTTACAACACTATATGTCACACACAGTTTCTTCCTTTTAATGTTTGTTATGAACAATAAATGATGAATGACACCTATAATTTCTGACTTATTATGGAGTAGTTTAAATCATATAGGTACCAAAGAAAGCTTACAGTGCTTTAATCCTTACACCACTCATCCACCATACATAGGTGTTGAAAACAAGGATATCCACTCCTGTCCAGTTTTTGGCTCTCTCAGCAATAGCATCCACTTTTATTATCCTTTTCTTTGTATCTCCTATGATATTGATGTCAGTGTTGGACTCCACAAGATATGGGGCCCAATAGAATTCTACTGTAGCATTGTATTCCTATGACAGACCAAATACGAAAAAAGTGAGCTTGAATGTTCAAGTGAGTAGTAGCTTATGTCAAACAGTTTAATATGTTGTGTTTAAAAGAATTGTGAGACAGTAAAAAAATTTGTTGTATTTTTGTCAATTACATGATTAAGAGCCAATGATTAAGTTAATAGATGATTGAGTTTACATCTTTGACCATGTATTCAATGTATCAATACCTTGGCTTTGAAGACAGAATGAACTCTCCCAAGTTGCATAGATTTCTGCTCTTGTGGTATGACCCATTCTACCAAGCAGACAAAAGATTCCCACTGGTTTCTTTGCAGCGAATCCCCTACAAAGAGCAACCTTTTCCCTTGAAGCTTTTTGAGGGCCAGTTCTGGATTGAAACTGCAAAACATAGTCATTTTGGAATATGTGTTATTTCAGCTATAATACTTATTTCTGGCCAAAAATAGATATACTTAAAAAGAAGTTATGCAACCTTAAATGGCACATGGAGTGTGAAACTTACCGTGGCAAGGTACAATCTTCTGGCTGCCACTCCCAATGGCGGTAGTCAGAATCTGTTCTCCCATTCTTGACACAAGAAAATTGTCTATCTATATATGGACAGCTTATGTCAGAGTAGAGCGGCTTTATTGAATGGTTAAACACCCATTTACCATTTGCAACATTGCACTCTTCAGGGTCAAAATCAAACCTGTCATCAATCCATGATGCATTTACAACCTCCTCATCAACCTTCTTATCACCTGCTGGGACTATCATGACAAGAGACATCATTGCATTAGAATCAAATTGGTTACAATGAAACATAAAAGGCAAAGATGAGATAAAGTGAGATAGTTGTATAGTAGCATTTGTGAAGGTCTAATTAACTTACTAGACTTTGGTTTGGTGTTGGTATTGGTGTTTTTTCTAGGACATGTTTTGAACTTGAAAATAGACTTGGAAGAAAGGAAGCTGAGTCTCTCTGCATACAAGATAGCTACAAAGACAAGAACACATGTTGTGATGATAATGATGGGTAGAGGCAGCTTTCCTCTGGGCGGCTTCATTATTCCTGAAGGGATCATGAGGAAGGAGATGAGAGAAGCTCAATGGTGGGAAGAAAGAGATAATGAACAAGTGCACAGTGCAACAGAATGATGAGGACATTGTAGAAAGGATTTAGAGGGGGAGGTTTTATGCATTTTTGAGTAGGAGTGAAGTTAAAGCATAGTATACTTTGGCAAGACTAAAAAATGCTAAAAGATACTGGAGGTTAAGGAATGAGTTGAAAGGCTAACATCTTTGACACCTCATACTTTGTCTATGTAGAGAAATCTATCGATGTAGCCACACATCATGCTTAGTAGTTTATACATTGTCACGTAGACCCTGTATAATATTCCTCAGGTGGGAAATATACTATTCTTGTTAAGTTTCTGTCTTTCTGTCTCTTATGACTTTTTGAATATTCAACAGTTCTGTTCACACCATTTAGCATATTTTTATCCCAAATGATTATTGAACTAGATTGTTTCTTACTCCACTTTTTTTTTTCACTATTTTTTTTTTATATGGATTGAGAATTATATAGGGCTCAAATGAATATATATAGTGAAGGTGTTCAACAAATCCCTTACTAGCTAGTGTTTGTAACGTATACAATTTGTATTAAAAAATTCTGTGCAAACATCTGGATTCATATAAGGGACAATTTGAGTTAGATTTATACATTTGAATTTGTTTATTAAAAAGGTTATCTTTTAAAGTGCAATTGTATGGGTATATATTTTTTTAAGGAAGTCGTTGTCTAAAGTTTTTATCATTAATGACATTATATCAAGTCGTTAAGGTATTTGCGTGAACTATACACCTAATTAATCATGATTCTCTAATGTTCTCCATTTAAAAGGAGGAATCATGAGCAGCAATTAAATGTTGCTCTCACTCAAAGGGCTACCAAACAAGAATTTTAAGATCACAAAACCATGTTTGGATGTGATTCCTCACTACCTAAACATACCCTTCTCTCTAGCATAGAATAGGTCCAGCAATCTTGTTCTTGCTCTATACACAATATATATCGATCTTTGCAATTTGTGCATGGTTGTTCCAATATTGAGTGGGACATGATAGCTTCCAATATGTTCTTATTTCAATACTCAACTTACCCTTTTCTTTCTGATAGCAACTATTAGTTGCATGGGCAACTTTCTTCCTTACCTCTCTTTTTTTCCTGTATGCCCGTTTGTCTTTTTGTATTCCTTAGATGAATCTTGAAAAATTGTTCCTCCTCACCTTTTTGCCATTCTCTTTCTTCCAAATCCTTGCTAGCTAGATTTGGACGTCAATAGAAGCTAGAAATTATGGGTAGAAAAAGGCCTTGTGTTTTCTTTTTTAGTAGAAATTGCTATTTGTGTTACTCTACGTAAATTTATATGATTTCTTAAGAACTTTACGTTTATGCAAACAAGGGAGAGATAGTTCAAATGTACTTTAATTGAGACAGAGAGAGGGGAAAATATAATTAAAAGAGTTAGTGACACAATTGATTCAATTTAATATGAAATTAGAAGCAAAGAGAAAAGGGAATGAAAAGAAAGCAAATAAACAAAGGGGGAATAAATTAAGTAAAGCTCTTAAAAAGAAATATATGGTTGAGGGTTGAATTGCGTACGAGACTGAAAGTAGGTGAGATACATGGTTTGAATGTACTTGAAACTTAGCATGGGAGGGTAACTTACTGAATTTAATCCAATTGGAACAAGAATTTGTTTCTGTACATGATTTAGTGATTTTTCAAATAACCATTATTAGATAAATCTTTCACTTTGAAATTGAGGGATCGTTAAATTATTGTATCATATCTGAAAATAATAATTGATTGGCATACTCAGAATGCTTCTATTAATAAATTTCAACAATGATGAAGTCACAATATATTAATTTCTTTCACTAATGTCCCATGCCATAGCCATCAGTTTGTTTCCTTGTGCTGATCTAAGCATTTACCACACGTGTCAAAACCAATCAAGATGGGTGAAGTCATTGACAAGAAACATTAGTCCTTGTATATAATATGAGTAGTAACATGCATGCCATCCTATTCTATAGGTCTAATCAAGTATACACAACATGTCACATAGGAAAATTATTCATTTTCAGGGGCAAGTAATTATGAGGATCATGGTTTAACAAAGTGGGGTGTGAAGGGTGAGCTGTTTATGTGGGAAAGTTGGAGAGCAAAACATGAGAAAATATTCCAGAGAAGTAGCAATGCAGCAATGAACTAACCTTATTGCAGGCTCTCACAACGTGGAAATTAGACTAGTGAAAACCACCATTGATATGGGCTTAGAAAAGTTTCCAATGTGGAAATGGACATTACAACTTAATAAACACAGTGGTTGTACTAACCTAATCAGACCGTACAACTGAAAATTGACCTTAGCTAAACATCCTTAAATTAACAACCACCAAAGTGTTAATATAATTATCATAATACAATCCTTTATCAATCAACAAAACGTCATTGGGGTGACCCTAAAGCATTGAAGTTGAAAATGCACAAAACCAATCACAAATAATCATTAAGCAATTGAAACCTCCGCTGTAATCCCGCATCAACATCAGACTCATTAATATAATTGGGTATAATGAATAAAGAAGTTCACCACTTGCATTTTCAGGGAATTTTCAATTTTGATTATGCTGTTGCTTGAAAAATGGATTTGACCTAAAGCCATTACGTCAATTTTCCATTTGTAGGTAACACAAATTTCCTTCTAACTTTCTTTGCTTTCAATCTTAACCTTATTTAGAAGATAGAAAATTAGTCATATATATTTATTTATTGTGGATGAAGATCGAAATACTTCTTTTTGGGTCAAAATGTAAATAAAAAAATTACGTTGTACTTTTTTCTTGCTTGATCAATGTGAATCTTGAAGAAGCTACTAATAGGGCCGAAGAAGACTGGATTCACGTTGTACCTATTTGTTCAGCAAGTTGCAACAGTGAAACTAGATAAAAAAACTGACCCAGAGAAAACAAAAATTACACCTTAAAATTATCATTTTAAAGTATTAAATACCGAAAAGTATCAACACTTATTTAACATTTTTCATATTTCTGTAAATCTTATCACATTATTTTATTTTATTTTTACCTTTATTTCTTCTATTTCTTTATCTCTTTAAATGTTCAGTGTCTACCAACCATTTTTTTTAAAATAATCTGATTTAATATAGAACTATGATGCTTGTACAGACTTATTAATTTGTCATCAGATGATTGACACATCATTATGTGATTACTAAATTCTATTTTTAACTATTTATATGTAATTGTATGATTTAACTAAACATATTCTTTCTATTTTGTTTTCTATTAATTAGCTAGTTGAATAATTCAATTAACTTAATAACTTTTAGTTTAAATTTAACTTTTCATATTTTGGTTAATTTTCTAAAAAACAGTGATAGTAAAAAGAATATTGTTAATTTTTCTTATATAAATATTTAAAATTATATAGCAGAATGAAAATGGTGATTTTGTAACTAGAAGTAACAATAATAAATAAAATAAAATATATTTTACAAAAAATAAAAATCTCTTTTATTTATTATAAAATTGCTTTTAATAGTTTATTCTAAAGTTTTTCTTAACCCTTCTTACTATTTTTCAAAAGGTTAAAAGTCACTCAATTCACTCTTCTCATAGATTTTTAGCAAGCTTTTTTATACATATCTAAACTACTTTAATCAATTTTTTGTCATTTTTTTAATAGGTATCACTCCAATAATTTTTCTATACAACTATTTCTTATAGAGTCATTTTTTAATATCTACAAGTTCTTTTTAACATTTTTCTTTAATCTCTATAATCAAATTTTTTCTCTTATTATCATTTTAAAATTCAACATTTATTACCATTGAAGATGATCAGTTATATAACAATTGGATAAAAACACCTTTTAAAATATAATAGTTACTTTTTTATTACAAATAATTTTTAATATTTTTTTTAAAAATTTAACTACTCAATTTATATTATATATGTGTAACATTTTTTATTTTATTATTAATGTCATATTTTTTTATTTTATAAATATTATAATATTTTAATTTAATAAAAAATATTTACCTGACTTTCCATTTAACACTCTATAACCTTGTTGGATAACCATGTGTAATTTTTCTTACTAAATAAAAGTGTTATTCGAAGTTCATTTCTCCTCACCCCATTCAACATAGAAAATGAAACAGATAAGTATTAGTTCTATGTGTGATACAAGCAAACGACTCTTCCAAGATCACATTCGAACCCATTATACAAGAAAATGGAGTCTTTAGCTCTACTATTTGAATTATATAATCAGAAAAAAATGGAAAAGACCAAAGTAAAAAAAGTAATATAAAAGAACCATTTTAATATAAAAAATTGAAAATAAAATAAAACCACAGGCAATGGGAATTCCAAAAGAAAGTAAAATAAAATTTCCAACTACTTGGAGTTTGGATGAAAAGGAAAAAAGTTTGAAGAAAGAATAAAGAAAAGAATATAAAAAAGAACGTTGATAAAAAATTCTCTAATTTAAAAAATTTTAAAACACGAATCTATAAAATTTTAAAAAATTTATAAAAACTGTAAAAAAGTGTTACTTTCTATCTGAATCTTATTTTCTCTTCTATTTCTTTTTGAACATTAACTCTCAGACCACAAATAGTAAACAATTTAGGGAAAACAATAAAAGAAAACATTAACAAAATTTATAATTATTTTTTAAAAAATAATAGCAAGATAAACCCAAAAAATTAAAAACTTCAATTGCATGTGTAATCATTATCTTCATTGCATAAAGGATTGTTTAGAAATGAAATTTTTAGAGGAGAGATGAAAGAAAACTTTATATTTTAAATAAATATATTTGAAATTACTATTTTTTAAAATAAATATATATAAAATTAATATATTGACATAAATTTAATATATTAATTATATATTTATTATCATAAATAATATACAATTTTTTAAATTTAAATAAAAAAACACGTTCTTCACTCTTTTTCCTTCTAAAATATTACTCTCAAACATACCTGATAAAAAAGTTTAACTATTTGGAAGAGAGTATAACAAAAATAAATAAACAAATA